TATATATACCCTATCGGATTTTAATTACATTTTGATATACATATTTAATAAATTTTTGCTAGTCGTCACATATCATTTATTTTGCAAAAATAACAGGAGCTAATTTAGGGTCTATATGGCAGAATTGCCTAATTAAAGAATGCTTGCCATCGAGGGGGCTCTCTCGGTCTATCGGCGAGGATTAAAGAACTGCATAAAAATAGTAAATTATTACAGTATTTATAATATGAAATTGGATATAAAGTAGTGAAATCATTAAAAGAAAAATCTATAAATACAGTTACATGAAATTCGACTGCTAAAAAGATTAAATGGAATTAAACTATACAGGAGGCTGTTAAGTATTTATACAATGTTATACACAGGAACGCACATCACGTTAGACACAGAACGCGCATCGCGTATGAAACAAAATGGCTTCTAAAATCTCAATGTCGCAACTCTTTCTATCTATGGCTCTGATAATAGCGCATGAATGACGCCCTCTTGCTAAATTGGAAACTTTTGAACCTTGACCGACGCTTCTATTTGTTACGCGTAAATCGCGGAGAACGCTATCTTGTGTTTATAAGATCTTTGCTTACAGTATGTTCTAAAGAGAGGGCGCATTGTAAATCGGACGCTTCTATTGTTACGCGTAAACGTAAAGTCGCGCTGCGTAGGCTATGGTCAGAGCAGTCAAGGTTCAAAAGTTTTCAATTTTGCAAGAGGGCGCCGTTCATGCGTTATTACAGAATTTGCACGCGTAAATCGCGGAGAACGCTATCTTGTGTTTATAAGATCTTTGCTCTCCGTGTACACACAATGCCTTTGGAACCGGTGTTCCACTATAATATTGGGAAGCTGCTCTATCTTTTGTTATTTATTATCTTTGAGTACACTACCAAAAATATAGCTTCGGAAAAAACGTAAATACTGCCGAACGCGCTCAACGACGTTCCAATATCATGTATAGGTAGTAGGCTCCGATAGACAGCCAGTCAGCCAGCAGTCGCTCATTTAAAAAAACTTGTGTAACACTGTGCTGTGCCTGGTTTCAATTTATTTTGTTTTATTAAACATTTTGAACAATAATGATAATGTTCAAACAACCAATCAATCTATTTATTAAACTCATTTATTGTCGGCTACTGGTATAGAGTGTATTTTTAAAAAGTTTAAGAGTGAGGATAAATATGATTTATATAGATAAACTTGAAAAGATTCGAAGCCATGCTACACGGATGATTTTTGGTTATGAAAATGCTAAAGAAATGTCATATGAAATGCGACTGGAGGCGACTAAACTCCAATCACTTAAATCACGTAGGGAAAGCAACGATATTGTTACATTCACAAAAGCTAAATTCCAGCAAATTCCTATAAATTTATCTGATTACATTTCTAAGCCAGTTCATGGTTATCAGTCTCGTTTCCTCGTTTCTGGTAATTACTCACTGGTATCGTCGAAAGTAAATGTTTTCAGATACAGTTTTTTCTGCCGTGCGGTTGTCATGTGGAACAAGCTTACTACTTTAATAAAAAGTTCAGAATCGCTCGATGATTTCATGAGATTGTTAAGCGATTCAATAAAAATTTAAGAAAAAAATTTAAAAACTGTTGCACCGGTCGTTACTCGATATCGTTTGGCAGTTTTTACGCACTGTAAATTAAATAAATAAAAAAATATAAAAAATATATACATTAATACTTTGAAGTATAACAATGTTTTTGATCAAATTATTTAAGCAAAACTTCACTCAATCAATCAATTGTCAATCAATATACTCTTTACTACCGCCACCGAGGCGGTTATGTAGGCCCTATTCACTGTTACGTTTGTCTTTTTTCTGTCTGTTAGCCAGATTACGCAACAACTAATGAGCAATTCCATTCTTTTTGTTGAGGAAATGCTGCAGTTTCGCCCATACACGGCCATACACGGCTTATTGTTGATATTCAGGCACAGGGCGGAGTACGCACTCTATTGAGTGACTGCTTTTTTCCCTATGTTTCATTAACAAAAACAGAAATTCATTTTTTCATGGTTTTACCATTAGAACAATGTAGGCCTACATGATCAGAAGTAAACAATTGGAATCGTTCACCTCTAAATGTAGCAAGTTATCTCGGGGTGGGGATGGAGGTAAGGTGCCTAATTCACCATGGTTGAGGCTGAGGTGAGCAATTAATAATATTAATACTTTTAAATACAAATTACATTCGTATCTAGTTTCTTCCACCACATGAATTACTGGTACTTATCTGTTATACTTTTTATATTAATGTAGGCCTATATTATATTTTATTATACTATATATTTTGATTTGTCACCTCTTTGAATTAAAATTTATTTATTGGACACATTCTTATGTTCAGGACCCCACAATTAAAACTTGCTTACAGTGCATTACCTTTTTCACAATAATCTATTTTCATTTAAAGATAGATTTTTCAGTGGGATTGAGCACTGTTTCACAAAAAATTGAGATATTTTTATTTTATATATATATATATATATATATATATATATAGGCCTATATATAATCTGTTTTGTTTTGTGAAATAAATATGTACTTGAAAACTTGAACTTGAAGTTTAAGAATAGTTACTTCTATGCCTGGTAATGGCACCCGCAAACTGGAAAAAGCAGTGCTCTCTCGACAAAATTATGGATAATGTGTGCTATATAAATCCTATAAAATAATAACAAATAGTAATAACAATGATGATGATGATGATAATAATAATCAATATAATAATAATAATAATAATAATAATAATAATAATAATAATAATAATAATAAGCTTCTTCTAAGTCAAAGATATTTGGAAACATTTTCTTTATTGATAAACATTAAATAAGTACAATATTTTCAATACACATTATTGTCAATGATTTGTTGTTAAAAAAGGGATTTTGCTTACTTTTTCTTCCAAAAATGGTTTTGTTTTAGAAGTCATTTTGTCGTCTCTTGGAACTTAAAAAAGGCGTCCTCGGTCTCTATATTAGAGATTCACAGAACTAGGGTCAGCTCAGAGTGATATGTAGTAAATTTGTCTCCAGTTAGAGGGATCTCGGAATTAGAGGTGACCATATAAAACATATACTCTATTATGGTACGTTGCGTTTAATTAATATTTATTTCATTGTGTTATCTAGTTAAACATATTATACCTAAATAGATATACTGTATAAATACCATATTACCAAACTAATACTTATGAACAACAACGAATAAAACATATGATATGTGGTAACTTTGTCTCCCGTTAGAGGGGTCTCGGAATTAGAGGTGACCATATAAAATACGCATATACTGTATTATGGTACGATGCGTTTAATTAATATTTATTTCATTGTATTATCTAGTTATCAAACATATTATACCTAAATAGATATACTGTATAAATACCATATTACCAAACTAATACTTATGAACAACAATGAATAAAACATTAAGGTTTAATCTTCGGTCTATATGGACGGTTTAGAATTAATTTTTGTAATTATCATTCGTTTATTGTGGTAGCTTCTTCGTTCTTGTTGTCATTATAATTTTTACTTGTTGATAAATGGATGTACTTTATTCATACAGAATGCTCGTTTGATAAAATATACAATGGACTGTAACAAAAGAACGATGACTTCGGTGATTGTAATGACTGATATTCCAACGTATAAGCCTAGGAGTCCACCAAACGCTCCGAGGATACCGGAAATCTGATTGGAGAGAGAGAGAAAAACTAAGGAATACAACTACATCAATATTTAGATTTGCCCCCCAAAAATGGAGTTGGTATAATGTGGATGACAAGTAGAACCTGTTTTAGATACAGATATGAGCACTCGGTAACACCTGTTGGGGTCGCATATTATAATTATTAGGTGTTTGCAGAAGTGTCCTGGCTGGATTGCAAATGTGTAGTCTAATGGTATAACACTCTTGTTGCATCTATAGAGATCCCGAATTCAGTTTCTTCATGGGAGCTTTTCTATTAATGGGCTATGCTCGTTCCGATCTTTATATCATTGTTCCTTTATTCAAGCACTGTTTCTACCATTTGATTATATACCCCCCCCCCCCACACACTTTCAACCACGGATCGACGCCCTTGTATGTGGTAATTAACATCAAAACAATGTTCGTTTATATTGCTAACCTTGTAGTCTCAACACTATTTAACAACCGCTTAACCTTTTTGTTCTTGTCTGCAAGCCGTATCCACAGATGCTCCTGTATTAGGTAGAATAAAATTTACAGAAAAACATTATGTTGTACCTTATGTGCACATGTAATTTTAGTTGGGCTGCTACGTCTGTGTATATGTGATTGGATTGGTACTTTTATTTTGTTTACACAAGATGGAAAATGCACTGTGTTCTTCATCAGGGTTATGAACATCTAGTCTACTAAATTTAAAGTAACAACTATAAGTCAGCCCCCGTACAGAGATTTTTATCGTGCACATGGGCCATATTGCACATGGCCACCAACGGCTTAAACGTCTCATCCGAAAGACGATGCGCTATTGTAACTGGTGTTCTAGCCCTCCAGCTGAAACACAAGGAGAGCAGCGATGAGAATTGAACCGGGACCTAGAGATCTCCACGGCTACCACCAGATTAGCCAACTGAGCTAAGCTGCTCCCCTAGCTACGCTGCTCCCTAAGCTGTAGTCTTGACGTCCTCAAACATCGTTATGTAAATCCTAACTTGAACCGAATCTGACCATCGAGAGGCTTAGCGATTACATTTATTTATTTATGAAATGAATGAAATATACATTTATGCAGAAAAGGCAAATGAATGACAATAGCGAACCTAATCACCGTCCTGTGTTTATTGGGAGTCCAAGATGCTCTACGTAAATTTAATTTCATTTTGAAGGTCAGAGAGACAACAAAATGAAAAAACATCCGTTTAATTTAGGCCCGTCACACTCAGTCTACCAGTCGGCTGTGTAGTTCGAAAATTTTCCTTTTGTAATATTTTTCTTCCACTTTACCAAATTTTTAAATTCGTAAATTTGTACATATTTTATTACCAAATCTTAATTCCACTTATTTTTGCTATTTATTATTAATCCATATTTTTCTAATATAATATTTGTAAATACTTGTAAATATCTTTATCTTAGTTTACTCTGTAGTCCTTGTATTGATTTGTTTTCCAAAGGTTTCGTTATCGTCGTTGTTTCTCGTTTATTGTTCTCTTTTTATATTGTTTTTGATCGTTTCTTGAAATTTTGTATATATTCCACTTATGAATCCTATTAGGTCCAATGCGGCCTGAGCCCCAGCCATGGTGGGGCTGAGGTGGTTTACACTCTCCATCTGTAAAAGTCCCTCTCTGGGCCCAGCTCTATTTCAAATTACTGGATCCGCCACTGGATATTTTGAAAATTCCGTATGGAAATAAATGTTAATTGCATTGCTTAAAATCAATTAAAAGGCTATATGCACCAGAGCTTCCGGGGCTTTGCCCCCTGGTCCCCAACCAAGGCTCATTTTTCATTTCGTCCCCCCCCCCCATTTTCAACCACGGATCGACGCCCTTGTACCGTACGTGGTAATTAACATCAAAACAATGTTCGTTTATATTGCTAACCTTGTAGTCTCAACACTATTTAACAACCGCTTAACCTTTTTGTTCTTGTCTGCAAGCCGTATCCACAGATGCTCCTGTATTAGGTAGAATAAAATTTACAGAAAAACATTATGTTGTACCTTATGTGCACATGTAATTTTAGTTGGGCTGCTACGTCTGTGTATATGTGATTGGATTGGTACTTTTATTTTGTTTACACAAGATGGAAAATGCACTGTGTTCTTCATCAGGGTTATGAACATCTAGTCTACTAAATTTAAAGTAACAACTATAAGTCCGCCCCCGTACAGCAAAATCGGTTCAAATCAACACTACAGTACAGGGGTGGATTTAGGGGGGAAAGTAAAAAAGGATTTAGGATTGCCCAAAACGCCTCTCAGAGATTATTTCCGGACGTGAATGCCGGACCCGCTATGGTAGTGTTGTCTCTCTACGGCACCCCACTCTCTTTTGGATATCTCTGGATCCGCACTGGACACTATATGGTTTGATCATAGTATTAATATTAATGCTAACAATATCATTACCATGGCATACCTCATATCGCTCTGACGGCCACACAGCATTAGATGATGATGTTACGTAATTAGTCTCACTGAAAAAAAAAAAAACATGAATCAAGTTGCATAGCCGTCGTAAGTGGTCCGGCCATGGCCAAAAAAAAAAAAAAACGGTAGGAAAAGTTGTTTTTTTTAAACAATAGGGCCTAATTTGTTTCTGCCTTAAAAGTAGGAAATACACAAAAATACAACAAAGACCATTTTTTAATGTATATTGAAGCGCATAACGAACACATAACACTGTCGCATCGCCGGCTACCGTGGCAAGATAGGCCTATTCTAGCCTTTTTAGCTCATTAAAAAATAGTTTTCGTTGTAAAAAAAAAACTGAAATGCCGACCCTCTATTTCGAGATGGTTGAAAAAAATGACACTCTGCCGGGAAATAATATGACAATTGGATACTTTAGACAAATGGATGTTCACTTTAGTGGTTCAAATTTAGAATGCAAGTAATCAGGGCCGGCTTGACCCGTATACCTTTGTTTAGTGAATACAGTTTAGCCGACTTCAACCCCCAACATTTTAAATAGTTAATAGAAAAAGTAGTCCGGTCAAAGCCGGTGCGGCCGGTGCGGTTCCGACGGCTCTGAAGTTGTCATTATGATAATAATACCATTATTAATAATTGGCATTTATAAAGAGCTCTACGCCAAAACCCAACATTAGAGCGCACACAATCTACTATAATAAGTTGCTACTGAAAAATTTGAATTAAATTTCAAAAAAAATTCCAATAAGACTGCTTGTGATACGAAAATGTTTACTTAGAGAGATTATATTTTCATCAGTTTCAATAAATCAGAACTTGTATCTTACCTGCAGGCAACAGGACAATCACAGTTGAGTTTATCATCATTGTATAATGAATCGATCAATTGCCGACACAATTCTACCAAATGTGTAAAAGTATAAATACAAATTATGGGTTCATGTTATTTTGATGACAAAATTCATTCATCCCTTACGGTAACTTTCTTCAAAATCGCAAAAACTCTGACAAACACCAGCAAACATAGATGATCACAACCAGTAAAAACGAAAAAGTAAGTAAAAACATCAGTGAACATAAATTACAAACGAAGACAAAAATAAACAAACAATACAAAATATGCAACAATTTAAATAAATAATTGAAATATACAGTATTTAACAACCAAGAAAATAAATATCTTGCAGTAAGTATAAAACATAGGAGTAATATTTTGTACCGAATACTCAGTACGTTCCCAAATGATACAGGTGGGACTCGAACCCACGATCTCTGGAATCGAATTCAACAGTAGTCATTAAAGTGCAATCTCGGTAGTCTAGTGGTTATGAAACCAGGTTAGTTATCTGGAGGTCTTGGGTTGGATTCTCACCCGAATCATTTGCGAATTTTTTTTGCAAGTGTTATACGAATTCGATAAGACAACAATGTCATTCCTATGATATCTTCCTGATGCCATCGTAAAAAGTATAAAAAGCATAACAAGCATACACATTTACAAATCGTTCCAACACAGACGGAGAATGATCACTCCCTAACAATAAGTATTTTTTTTTATGACTTACGTTGTGTTGAATCCAGATAACTACAAAGCGCATGTTCCTCGAGACCAATTTCAGTGACACAGCCGCACTTATTTAGTAGTTCCTCTTGCAAACATGACTGTATACAGAGTTGTTGAGAGTACCCAGCATTCTGGGTATTAAATCGAATATCTTTGCCTTTTGAGCAGTTGCCGTGTGGTTGGGGTAAGCGTACAATATAATTCTGTTTTTTATGATGATAATAATATTAATAATTTAATGCTGATTACGGTATGTTAATAATTACAATAAACTATATTCTAATTATTAATTTAAAAATAATAGAAATAATATAATGATGATGGTGGTTATAACGAAAACTTAATATTTTGTTTATACAACAGCATCCTTTATTAGAATTATTTAGCCTATGAACAACTTTTTGAGTAAAATTTATAAATTACTTTTTTTATCCCGATTAATGTTGCCATTCCAGTTGGCGCCAATGTTCCATGGTCTTCCGGGAAAACAGCCACAGAAGTATTGTGGATAGATACACGTACACCCGACATATGGGAGAACAGTCCTATGTACTCGGGTTGTTCAACAAAAAGAGTCAATTGCAGACCTACAATGGAAAGTGTTTCATTCACGATTATTACAGCACGCAGTGTAAAAGCAGAATTTTCGGACAGTATTGCTTCATCGTATCAGCTTATTTATTCACATTAAAATATATAAAATTACTCATCATATGCTAATTTGAGAACAAAATTAGAAGTTAGGAAATATTGTATATGTATTCTTGAAATATTTCAATATTGATTGTAACTGCTTAATTTTAACATTACCTGTGGATATCAGTACAATAACCATACATAATGACAGTGGATATATATATATATATATATATCTGTCTCTTATACACATCTAGATGTGTATAAGAGACAGCTTTTGAGCAGTTGCCGTGTGGTTGGGGTAAGCGTACAATATAATTC